AGAGCCAAGCGCACGGCTAAGCCGGCCCGAGAAAGCAGGCGAGAGCCAGGGCTCTCGGGGAAAACCAGGCCCCGCCTGCTCCCGAGGAAGGCCCCTCAGGAGGTAAATATGGCTAACGAGCGAGAGCAAGAAGCCAGGCTCCCGCTATTAAGAGTCGAGCCAGCAGGAATCCGGTGGACCTGCAGCCTTGTGGAAAAAGAAGTGGCAACAGGGTGCAAAGGCGGACACACACTCTTTTACAGAAGTGTTTTAGTTATGCCTTTTCCTGGCCGTCAGGATCTGAAGACCTTTGTCGGGCTTCCTTGAAAGCAGGAAGACTGACCATGCTTATCCCTAGGCATGTCTTGGTATGTTTAAAGGAGCATGGATGTGTCATCCTCAGTTTACCTTTTCCTGGGATTGTTGTTGTTTAGTCGTGTGTGACTCTTTGTGACCCCATGGACCAGAGCACGCCAGGCCCTCCTGTCTTCCACTGCCTCCTGGAGTTGGGTCAAATTCATGTTGGTAGCTTCGATGACACTGTCCAACCATTTCGTCCTCTGTTGTCCCCTTCTCCTCTTGGCTTCACATTTTCCCAACATCAGGGTCTTCTCATGAGATGGCCAAAGTATCGGAGCCTCAGCTTCAGGATCTGTCCTTCCAGTGAGCACTCAGGCTTGATTTCCTTCAGAACGGATAGGTTCGTTCTCCTTGCAGTCCAGGAGCCTCTCAAGAGTCTCCTCCAGCACCACAATTCAAAAACATCAATTCTTCAGCAGTTGGCCTTCTTTATTGTCCAGCTCTCACTTCTATACATCACTACTGGAAAAACTATAGCTTTGACTATGCGGACCTTTGTCGGCAAGGTGATGTCTCTGCTTTTTAAGATGTTGTCTAGGTTTGTCATCACTTTGCTCCCAAGAAGCAGGGGTCTTTTAATTTCGTGGCTGCTGTCACCATCTGCAGTGATCATGGAGCCCAGGAAAATAAAATCTGTAAATGCCTCCATATCTTCCCCTATTTCCCAGGAGGTGATGGGGCCAGTGGCCATGATCTTAGTTTTTTTTTTTGTTGAGCTTCAGACCATTTTTTGCCCTCTCCTCTTTCCCCCTCATTATGAGGTTCTTTAATTCCTCTTCACTTTCTGCCATCAGAGTGGTATCGTCTGCATATTGGAGGTTGTTGATATTTCTTCCGGCAATCTTAATCCCAGTTTGGGATTCATACAGTCTAGCCTTTTGCATGGTGTATTCTGCATATAAATTAAATAAGCATATAAACATAAGTTAAATATTATTCCTGGGATTACCCTTTTTTTAAAAAAAAGCACATTTTTTGCATTTACGTATTTTAATTTCTTGGGCATATGCCTTGCACCAAGGTGCCAATCCTCAGCATTTATGTTAATGGTATTAGACAGAAAGATTATCAGTTCCTGTTATTGCTTGGGGTTAGTTTGTCTGTTTACAGTGCAGTCCCATGCAAGACTCCTAGAAATAAGGCATGTTAACTTCATTGGTTCAGTTACTCACTGAAATAGGATTGCAGCTCTGGAGACCTTCCTCATCATCTCCTCTGTGCCATCAGCCATTTGTTATGTCCAAATGCACCATAAATCCTGATAAGTGATATTGTAGTTGATCATGCTGCATTTGAAAGATGCAAATGGACTTGCATATTTTCAGGAGTCAGACTCCTATGAATCAGGGCAATGGCACAGTCATTTCCCCTGCCCCTCATATTAGGCACTGCAACCAGTTGTGTCCCCAATTTTTCATCCAGTGCATGATCAGGCATGAGAAAGTGAGCATGGAGGGGGGGCATGGAGAGTACTTACACAATGTCTCTTATATGAACATGTAAGCAAACAGGATTGTAGCCAGGTGATGTTAGGGTATACGAACAAAATGTTTAAACTGGGGGTTTGGATGTGACATGTTACTATTAAAACACCATTTATACTGATGATGCTATAACAATAACAAATATGGGAGGGGGAGAATTAGTGGAAGCATAATCATATACTTGCTTTTTCCTCATACCATAGTATCCGAAGTAATTTTATCATCTCTCCATCTGTAGTCACACTCTCCTTGGAAACAGGAAGGCTAATGCTGTTACATTTTATTTGTCCACCCTCCTTCTTCTTGTAACCACTGGAGCTATTTTAGAATACATCTCTGAGATGTAGGGGACAGGAAAAAGTACTATTTTTAATCATATACTTTAGAGGTGGAAAGGAAAGAGTATTATTTCTAGCCACGTGATTTGACATTGCAAGGGATGTGTGCATGTATATGCTTTATGAACCATTAGGTCACTTCTGACTTATGCAACCCCCATGAATCAATAGTTTCCTGCCTTTAATAGTACAGTTCAGATCTTGTAGGAGCTTGAAGACAAACAATAACATGGCTAAGAGCAAGTAGGAATCAGTCTGTTTAATGTCAAGCCTTCCTTTGCTCCTACCGTTGTCAACTTTTCCTAACATTAATGTATTTTTCAGTGAGTCTTATTTTCTCATAATGTACCCAAATACAGTTAATAGTTTCTATAGCTCCAGACTTAGCTAGCCCACTTCTGAGGCTATTCAATACATTGAAGAAATACAAAACTGCATTTCCAAGCATACTTGTTTGTTGGTTGGTTTTTTTAATTATTAATTTTATAGTCTTTCTTTAAATATTTGCCGCTGTGATTTCATCAGGTCCGACAGTCTACTTTAATTACATTCTCTTTTACAAAATAATATAGATGATACAAATACGATTTTTACTCATTTGCCTAGGATTCATTGGGCAAAATTCTGGGCGTAACTTTTTACAAGCGTAATCTGATTCAGACAGGAGAAACATTGAATTAAAACTAATTCAAGTCCTGAGCTTGGTAGCAGCAATCCAGCAGTGATATTTTTCTGTCAAAAACTCTCCCCATCCCCACCCTCCTACCAAGGTGCCCAAGGCTCCCAAAGACTTCCCCAGCTTTGGAACCTAAATGATGGGTAGGGAGTTTTTATTAGTTTTAATTCAGTGTTCTGGTGCCTTCTTCAGGTTATAGCAATACAAAGTCACACAACAGAATTTTGCCCTTTGTCTTTTGTGGAGAAATATCACCATCTTTTGTCTGGCAATTTCTCATCATGCAGCACACTATATTTATTGATAGGATAAAGGAGTTACTGGTCCACATAGTACATGATGGACACAAATCTCTTGGACAACTGCTCATACTACTTGACTTTTCCGTCTCTGAACACACACACACAAGGACAGCTGTTTTGTAATTTTTTAAAAGAATGCTAGTGGTTGTATATTGTGATAGAGTTGACCAGTACTTTAGGGCTTATTTTAAAAATGTTTTTAAAAACTCAACATGACTAACTTTGTTCTGTCATTTCAAGAACCTTTACCTGACAAAGTTTTTTTTTCTTGTGTGCTTCTGTACGGAAAACAGGCAGCACCTCAGTACACCTCTAAATGTTTATATATTTTTTTATCTTTTGATCTTCAACTCTGCTGCAGAAAGCACAAGATTGCTAATCTCCAAAGGGGTGTGTGTGTTGCCTTCTATGTGGTTAGTTTATTCTACCATGGTTTTTCAAGATCACTTTAAAAACTGATATTGCCCTGCTTCTGTGTTCTTGATAGAAACTTTGTGAAGTAATAAAATAAAGACCTGCCTATACAGTGTAAGCACGTGCCTACCCACAGGTATAACACCCTGGTTTGAAGTAAATATGTTGAAGGGCTGAAGTTTAGCAAGGAATCCTTGCCCTTGGGTCTTCTGTCTAGAGCTGGTTATAATAGGTTAAGAGCATTTTTTTACCACTGAGGTGGTACACATCTGCCCTCAATGCCCAGAACAAGTTTTGTTGTCATGGGTCTACTGCTAGTAGTGTTTCTGTCAGCAAGGTAGAATCCTGAAATGATTTTTGAATCTGATCCTGAATTGGGTCCTGTCAGCTTTGTTAGTCTGAGGCCAGCAGAGTGGATCCTCACCTCTGGAACAACTTGCCTGTGGAGATCCGCCTGGCTCCCTCTCTGGGTGTCTTCAGAAGCAAACTCAAGACCTGGCTATTTGGGCAGGTTTTCCCTCCTGCTGTATCTTAAATTTACATCTTACCATCTTGGACTTATAGTGCATGTTTATTGGTTTAACTGTTTTTAAATTTGTAATGCTGCCCAGAGTAGACCTTTGGTCTAGATGGGTGGGGTAGAAATCCAATAAAATGTTGTAAGCCACCCAGAGACCTTCAGGTAGTGTGGGCGGCATATAAGTTAAATAAATAATTCCAAGAGTGGACCAACTCATTTGGGACCTGTCAGAGATGTTGGGTGTCACAGAGCTGCAAACAGAGGAGTATATTCTGGGGGCTGCGACCAGATGGACGGGATATAAATCAAATAAATCAAATAAATCAAATGAATAAATAAATAAATAAATAAATAAATGTAAATCATATTGATGTAAATCATGTTTTAATTTTTTAAAAAAAGAAATAGTTTTGATTATTTAAATTAACATTTTGATTTTTTAATTTAAATTATTATTTAAATTATTTGATTTAGGAAAAAAACATTGATTTTTATGCAGCCTTGAGGCCATTGAAGTCAACAAGAGGACACTAAGAAACAAACACTGGGGGGAAAGCTGTAGGAACCAGCATTTGCTCTCTGGGTTAGTGTGAATCAGCAAGGCTTTGGAAGTATAAGGTTGTCTGCCGCTTAATTCCTCTCTACCTCACATAACCTCACTATGTCATTTGTATATTCTAGCTTTTTGTAC